GAGCGAACATGGATAGGGCCAACAGTTCATTTAATATAGAGAAGGGAATATGAAGATGTTGAGGTGGGGGAGGGGTGAGCGGAAATTTTGTGTGTGTGCTCGGGGGCTTTGAAAAATCGTTGAGGTCAAGGGGAGGGCGTAAAAACTGGTTATAGAACTAGGGGCCTAATTATATGGGCCGGGCTGGCTCGCTTTGCAGATATCCCGGCACCTTAGTTAAACGAAACAAAAATTATCTTTGCCGTTATATGACAACCGAGCCAGCCCGGTTAGCTAGGATCCCAGTATTGTGACGCCGGGATCCCGGGTGGAAATTTTTCAAGTAATCACGCTTGCCGGGCGGCCCGGCGAATGAACCAAGCGAGATGCAGGACAGCGGGTAACACACTGTTCATGCCCATTGCTTCCCCGGCTCATGTGATCAGGCCCTTACTGTGAGTTGTATTGTCACGCAGTTTGCACGTGAAAGCTTTGGAATTTGCCGCTTTCTTGGTTCGTGTACGAGAGAATACGACCTAATCTAATTAACCCAAGGGTTTTAACAATAGAACGCCGTTTGCACGTGAAGATGTTGGACTCTGCCCCTTTTACGTGAAGGAATGCAACTTGTTTACGAGATTATTTGCTCAAAAAGATTTTAAGAAATCACCTCCTTTCCGAAAATAATCAATGAAATTATGCATCATTCAATGTTACCCTTAATTATCTCATGCACGAGATCATGGAATTTTGCGTGACATCTTCTTTGGCGCGCGACAACTGAGAGCAAAAATGTTGTCAAACTCTTGGCAATAAGCCAAACCATTCACACCGTGTGCTGCGAGGACGATTATTTTCCAAAGGAAAAATTTAAAATATTTAATAGTTTTTTCACTTGGTGACGACAGTGTACCTTGTTTTTCCAAAACGTTTGTTTTCTATTGCTGACTTGTTTGCCGTGCGTTATCTGTGGTTCGTATGTAACGAAGATAAATGCTGTGTTAAGACACAGCGCGCGACATTCGCGTCGCTTGGCTTGCGTACTTGGCTTGTTTACGTTCGCACGTATTGCGCGCCTATTGCAACTTTGAATCAAAACAAGCGAACTGGATTACTCTATTTGGGCGACGCATGAATAATAATGTCTGAGCTCTGAGGCTGCGAAACCCAGAGGCCATGTTTTTCACTTAAGATGGACTAGTGGAGTCGAAATTTTAAATAAGCGACTGAGCGCGTATGTGCTATAGCTTCTATTCCAATCTACGGTAATCAGTGACCTGCTTGATGGTGTTATTACGTTTTGATAACAGTCTTCGTGACAAATGGTAAAGTGTTGCATGTTCTTTTATAGGTACAAAGATTTGCTGTTTGAGGTCACGACTGGACCCGCCCCCTCCTTCGTTTTCACTCTTTCATTGTCCTTTGACTTCAATGTATCAACTAAGGACTATGCTATGCCTAGTGAACCACGCTGGCAGATGACTCCTATGGAGTATGCTACGTTTTTGAATTCCAGCAAAGGAGACGATACAGGTAAATGTTTTGTGCTATTTACACTCCCCCGCCCCCCGCCCCCGACACTTCTGTATCATCATTGTCGTCGTTGTCATCGTCATTGTCACTCAAACAATCTGACAGGCTAATTTCTAGATATTTTGTATCCTTAGATGTTTTCTAATATATAGATTTAGCCAGGGCTAAAAGCGAGGCTCCCATTAATAAATTTATAATTTAAATCAAACAATAAACTTGTATTCCACAATTCAGTTAACTTTATATAGAGCACATTCATGTGACTTTTCAGGGAAAGGCTAAGTGATTTTAGACAAAAACAATTTGCAAACAATCCCAGAGTGAACGAAATCTTACATCGAGTTGATGGCCTCATATGTACACCTAAAAACTGGCAATCGTCTTCGATCACATTTCTTAAGAGCCATAATGGCTCTTCATCACCGTAGGTTAATTAGGCCTGGAAAAAAGTTCCGGTCGAATTTTTTGCGTTCGACAAGTTTACTTTACAAAATATTGCCAACAAATCTGGGTTCGTGTAAACCAACCTTACATATCATTTAAACATCACATCTGAGGTGAAACAGTACTATGAGGCACTGTTTTTATCATACAGACCTCGGACAACAGAATGCAGTATTTGACAGTTTTGCAATACAAATTGCTATCATTCAACATTCAGGACGATCGAAGCACGCGTGGGCTTTAGCTAAACCGTTAAAAAAATTTCCAAAATCACCTATACGGCCAGCCGGTTCTGACTTTTGCAGTGCTAGCTGTGGCGAGTGTTTGAATGAACATTAACACAGTTAAGCTCCAATATAATAAAGAATTTATTATGTTTATTTTTTATTTTAAAATGGTTTAACGCGTCGCATTTTGAGTACTCTGGGAAGCGTTGTTTACTGAACGACTGAAAACAATCGGCACAGCGATTAAAATTACAAGAGAGACTACTAATAATCAATAAAAGAAATAAAATTCGGTGAAACATATACAGAGACGACAATTTTCATTCAGGAAGACAAGTATTAAAGTGTCTCTAAAAATCCTGAGTCTTCGAGCTTAACGCTGAAGTTTTTGTTTTAAGCCGGCTTCCCGGTGTTTGCTTTTTTCAAAGACGAACTCGAGGCAAGAAAATCGCTCAAAGCTTCTTTTACAGCCAGAATTATAACTTAAAATTCTTTGGAACCTGTTCTTTCTATTTGCGGTGAGAAAATGTCTAAAGGCTTTTAATATAAACCTGATACTCGGTCAGATCATTGTCTCAAATCTTACAAACGTGCGTAAACAAAATAGCCGCACAAACTACGCTCGACTTCATTAAATTAGAAATAAAAAACGAACATCAATGACAATAATTACTCAGGCTTACCAGTCGAGATGCAGCTCCTCAAAGGTATCAAGTAAGGCCAGTATCGCTTTAGACTTTGAAACCCTCTCACGCATTAAGCAAGGTGAAAACGAAAACGATACCATCGGAAATCGGATTTCCAACTTTGACAATTGACGTATTTCTCAACCAAAAACCCAACAAACAAACTAGCCATGAATAACAGAAGACTTCCGATAGCAGCTGAATTTCATTTTGTACATCCAGTGGAAAAAGACAGTTAAAAACATCACAAGTTGACACAAAACTCTGTCAGCTTCAGCTGTCAAAGTAAACAAGGTTCAAGATGCTGCCTAAATTTTCCGCATGAACTCACCTGTCAAATTTTGACCAATCAGAGCATAAAAATTGGACGTAGAACGTGACCAACGCGTGAAAAAGGTGAGAAAAGTCAAAAGCAACTGTCTTCCCTGCCTTGATAGTCTCCCCTACCCTACCCGTACAATCTGTAGACGCGTGCGTACGTACGTACGTACGTACGCTCGGTCAGTCACGTGACTACCAAGCGAAAAGAGGTTGACCATATTCCATAAGTATGGGGCTCTGTCCCACGCACGCTTGGCGCGCGCGGGAGCCCCGCTAAAATCAATTAAAAGAAATAACAAGTTTAAAAATAACAGTTTTCTTAATTTTTTTATTCCAAAACATAAAAGAACAAACTGAACCAATTGTTGTGTCTAACCAAGTATTTTGGCGGTCAATGCTTCTCTTCTCTCACGTAATCTTTTTTAAACAATATTCAGGGGTGCCTATTTCAGCGAGGCTGTTTTGTATGGGGCCCTGATGAAAAAGAAAAAACAACACACCAGACAAATAAAGATAAAAAATGGTACAACTAAGTATAACAAAACTAAGGCTCAATTAGGCTTGGATGTAAAGTGCCTTTTGCTTGGATGTAAAGTGCCTTTTTAGGCCAAACGAAACCTTATTAATATCATGCTCGCTCCTCAAGTACAGAGGAAGCGTATTCCAGATCTTGGCTCCGCTGAACTTGAAGGAGCCCTGGTTCTTAGTTGTCCTAGCTAGCGGCAGACGGAGCAAATCTCTATGGCACGTGTTATATGAATGGAAATCGCGCGAGTGGCTAAATTCATCAATTAAATATGCTGGAGCCAGGCCATGAAGGCTCTTAAACACTAGCATGCACTTTAGATAGTCCCGGCGGGACTGGAGCGTATATAGGCCAACCGAACATGCGAGATATCTGTGAAACTGTGTAGCCTTTAATAATACTGGCGCCACGCCTATGCAGCTTATCTAAGTACTCTCGGTCACTTGCTGCTTTTGCTTTCTATCGTCACTTTTAATGATATAAAAGCCTCCTCCAAGGCTATTTAGTTGTCCACTCAACGAATTAAATGTAACAAGGGTTACTCCACGTTGAAACTTTTATGTGGCAAGATTCTACCCCGGCTGAGAAGGTGTTACCCGGTCTGGCGGAACGGGCGACACAACTCGACGGCCACCCCACCTATCATGTACAAGTGGTCAAGTGAAAATGAGAGGTTATGTGGACAGGCGGGTTACCTCAGCTAACCTCAGTTAAACGGTTTATTTCATCTACAGCGTACCTAGTGTCCCCCACCTCCATGTAAACAGTCGGGTCATACCGCTCTTTCCTACTAGAAAACTTGTTTTGTTTGTTAATTTGTTTGTTGGTTTGTTTGTTTTTGCAGTTCTTCTTGTACCAATCTTCAAAACTCACACCAAGAAAACGGTTATTACCCAAAAGCTTCAATACCTTCGTCTCGACTACTGCTTCGGACTGGCCCATCACTACAACATCACCATAACCGTGGTCGCTGATGATCAGCGGTCGGGCTTTGCTACTTACGCTTGTAAGAAGACCTATAACCAAGGAAAATGTGACGTGAGGACTCCATATCGTGACATATCTGGTGGACCGGCTAACTTTGTAGAGGTTAGCTTGGATGGTCAACAAGATTATGGTCCCGTGGTTGTGATTGTGCGTGGTGATGGGCGATATCAACAACCCAACAACTACATCCTAACAGCTTCGTCTCCTAACTAAAGATGACCTGACATCAAATTGAAGGAGAGTCTTTTATATTTTTATTTTTTTATTTTAATGTCGCTTTAAGGTGCTTGTTTATGTTAAAAAAAGGAATATCCTGGCAACGAAGTATACGATTTAAGTGCTGAGATCTTTTGTCTTTATTATAGTTGTACCAGAATAGACCAATTTCGATATATTAAAATTCATAATTGGCTCTGAGGCTCAGGAGGATAAAACAAAAGAATTAATCTTCAGTTTCAGCAATAAATAATACATTTCTTTTGTTTTATTGCCCGAGGCTCGTTGCCAAGTCTTAATTTCAATATATCGAAAGCGTAAGAGTTAGACCCAGCGTCTGTGAACATCAATGACGACCCCGAGACCTACGCATATATCTTTATTAGGATAACTAGGAAAGAATTTCGTCCTTAGATGATTCGATAGATTAGATAATCCTGTTGATGTAAGATCGTCCATGTAAACCACCCTAAAGTAAATAAGTTTGGTCAAAGAAATTTAAACAAAAAGCAATGTACCTTTTTAACGTATATGTTTTAGTTTCCCAATTCAGACAACGTGATGTCCTCAAAGAAATTTACCTTCTCAAACATACATTGCATGTGGATAGGACGACAATTAAGACAACATTTCTCAAGGATGATATCACATGGTCTGAAATGGGAAAACAAAACATAACTAAAAAGATCTATTAAGTTTATGGTTGATGTTAATTTTGAATCACCTTTTAAATAAACTTCAGGACACATAAAATAATGTGTTTCACTGTTGCGTTTATGTGTCGTTGTGTAGCAGATCGCTTGTTACTATACTACACCAATGAGGCTTGAAAATTAACGTTCAGCAAAAAGTACCTTTCTGAAACTGTCAGTGAATAAAAACAAAACAACAGCAAAGCTCCCTCCAAATTTTGCTTGCTACTTGAAGACTTAGCTTGGCTTCTCGTTTAGGAAAGATTTTCAGAATTATGGTTTTAGAATGCACAAAAAGTGCGTTTTCGCTTGTTTTTCACGAGATGTGGTGGCAGTGGGTTGAGCGAGTCAGTCAAAACTACTTGGTTTTGCGCACTTGCTCTGTAACCTATTTCACTGAATCGCTCTCATTTCAATTGAAAGACTTCTACTTCTCTCATACGTTCGGTTTTTTAATAATTTAAAGGTCATCTAATTGGCGAAAAAAAAAACCGTTGACCCACACAGCAACTTTTTGCGATCCAATGTATTTACACTAGCTACTTATTAAATAACTATAATTCCTCAGAATATAAATGTGACCTTTAAATTCCCCAACTTACTTCTAATTTCATATGTTTGAGGACAAAATGTTCCTACTACGTTCTGTGAAAATCCCTTTACCTTAACACACATTTTATAGAAGCATTGTTAATTATTGCAAAATGTTTTCGAGATTACGTCAAAGACAAAATTTTGTCTATTTACTTCTAGGCGCCTCAAACCGATTTTTTTCTCTTAAATACAATAGTCTATTCTCCTCTTAAGAGGCTTAGCTGTTCCGGAAGATAAACAGGGGTAGTATTAATACTTTTATCCGATATTGGTTAGGACGTCTGAGTATATTTTAATATATTTTACGTCAGGCAGATTTAATTGTAATACCAAGCTGGAAACAGTCTCTTTTTTAAGAAAATGACACAGCAGTTGCCTTCTTTTGCTTTGCTTCCCGCGTCTGCTTCACCGTAGTTTTCAATCATCTCCTTAACCTTCTTCCATCTTTCCTTCAAATGGTCGGCTTGCTTTACAAACGGCTCGCTGACTGTAGGGTCCAAAGTTTCGTTCTCAATTTGCTTGCTTAATAAGACGATGTGATCCACCTTGGCCTGTTTCTCCTTGATTTCTTCATATCGCGTCTAAGGAAAAAAAAGAAGCCTGCTTCACTGACTATCAACCACATTATCACTGTTACTATCGAGTAACGTTGCAGTTTTAATGACTATCAATAACCTGATTTTAAATGATTTTAACAATAAGCATCAAGGATCAGGTGTTATGCATACACCAAAGTTTGCTCTTTATCTCTCCTGATCGACGCTGTATGCGAATCTGCATTTTAAAAAGAAATAACCGCTAGACATTTCCTCATGAGCACAAGACCCGCTGCTAGAGGGCAAACGGCTCAAAGCGAGGCACAAAAGGTAATCTTAGGATCTTACGAGTCTCATTCCTTAGGCCGGCGTTAACTAAACTCGTCAGCTGAAGCCTGTGCGCACGTAGTGTTGTTTCTTTCACTTCCCGATCTAAGGACAGTTTGTTTATGATTCAGAAAAACAGTATGAAGAAAACCACGTGACACTTACATTTACTTTCTGCTGAACCTTTGTTGCTTTTTGGGAATCCATGTCAACGCTGAATGATTTGACAAGTGTCTCTGATTCATCCATCCAGTCATGCATGGCTTTACTTTCTTTTCGAAAGTCCTTTATCTTCTGATTGATGAGTGACTATTGAAATAAATTTGAGAAAATTAATACGTTTTAGAGGTAAACCAAAAATACAAGAACCTTTTTAGCCAGGCAAGATCAAACAGGTTCTTATACATGTATGTGGGTTTGGTAAAATTATGATCATAGAATAAAAAAAAGTAAAATTCTAATTACAGAAAATAAGAACATAATTAAGAACCTACTTAGAACTACTTGACCAAAACTATCATCACTCACTAACCCAAAGAAGAAGAATCTAATTTCCCAGCGAAGTTCTTACCTGCCGGTTTTTACTGTACTACAAAATGAGACACTTAGCGAAAGCTGTCCTAACAACATGCTTTCAAATGCCCTTATAGGTCATTAACATATTTTTTATACTTTTCCGTCTCAGATGTGTTCACTGCATGCCTTGATTATAAACACTGTTTTGAAAGTTGAGGAAAAATTTGCAGCAAATGATGCTGCTAAAGGAACAATAAAGGGTTTACCCCGGTGTCAACCCGCTAGCAGAGCCTTTCTTTCACTTCATTATGGCGTACTCGTGCATGGATCGAGAAAGGTCTTTGTTGAGCATGTGCTGATTGTTACTGGTGTTCAGTTTCCAACCAAGACTAATAGCCGTGCACTTAGCACAGCAGGCTCAGTCATGACTTAGGCCGATTTATCAAAAAGCGGATGCTCGCAGTCGAAAAAACCAGTTTGACGAAAGAAAACAAGATTGACTAGTCCGGAACGATTTTTCGGCGACTTCAAAAGTTCGATGTGGTTCAGGCAGAGCCTCCTATTAATTTTTCCTCTCCACTCAAAAAGACTCTGCAAGCTTTGCTCGAAGGGTACCTACTTACTTCGTCAAGTGCGTGTTTTGATATCGAGTGCAACGCGAATTAAAGAGTGCAAGAAAGTCGTGATTCATGATTTATTTGTTGTTATTATTTTTTTAATTATTATTAATCATGGAGTTTGAAAAGTCGCTTTACCAACCTCGTAAGTTGGTTTCTTTTTGAAGAAATGATGTTTTGGTTCCACAAATCCTTCATCACTTTGTGAATCGTCATGAGGTTCGTCAGGACTTGAATGAACAGCAATCACACTAGAAGCCACCATCGTCTCATTAACCGTAGTAGTTTGCTCAGCGTTTCGCAATGCTTCAGCAATCCTAACAGAAGATTGAAATTAAAACCGAAATAACAATACTTTAAAATATTCCTGAAGGACTTAATGGGAAATATTGAAACGTGATGGCCTAGCCTGGCCCAAACAGCGGGTAGGGTGAAATTCTTTCATGCCACGGGCATATAAACTTGTTAATTTTATTGTCCACTTTTATGGACCATCTTTAAATCTAACCACTTCTGTTACGGAAGGGTAAGGCCAAATTTCAACAATTTTTAAAGAGCTGGAGATTTAACTTTTTTCTTGTATTTTTAGGATCATGTTTTTCCAAGAGTAAAAATGTACAACCTGCATTATGATCGAAAAGATCGAAAAGGTGATGTTTCAAGGTCCAGCATTTCACTATAGCAAATCAAAGGATTGTTGGTTTATATATGGAGTGGAGTAGCAATGCCATTGGTGGCACTGACTTAAGAATGATATGGTAATTAAGCTATTAACTCCTTGTCGGAACTTGGACAAGGCTCTAAGGGCCTTTTGAATAGTTAAAACAGTTTTTTCAAAAGGAAGTAAATATAGCCCAGGTTTGAACAACTGATCACTATAATTGCATTTCAAATTGTTTTGGGGGAAGATACCTTTGTTTCCTCTTTTCTGCATCTCCTATCAATCCCTCTAGCCTATCCTCTAGCGCCTTTGTTTCTCGTTGAATCGTTTCACCAGTTTCTTCGGTCACAAGATCTCTCCTGTGAACTTCCCTGGCCACATCAACTGCTGCACTGACAGAATCCTCATGTGATGCTATCTTGTTTATGATGTTCTAGCAATGTCAGGGTAGAGTANCTGGCCCAAACAGCGGGTAGGGTGAAATTCTTTCATGCCACGGGCATATAAACTTGTTAATTTTATTGTCCACTTTTATGGACCATCTTTAAATCTAACCACTTCTGTTACGGAAGGGTAAGGCCAAATTTCAACAATTTTTAAAGAGCTGGAGATTTAACTTTTTTCTTGTATTTTTAGGATCATGTTTTTCCAAGAGTAAAAATGTACAACCTGCATTATGATCGAAAAGATCGAAAAGGTGATGTTTCAAGGTCCAGCATTTCACTATAGCAAATCAAAGGATTGTTGGTTTATATATGGAGTGGAGTAGCAATGCCATTGGTGGCACTGACTTAAGAATGATATGGTAATTAAGCTATTAACTCCTTGTCGGAACTTGGACAAGGCTCTAAGGGCCTTTTGAATAGTTAAAACAGTTTTTTCAAAAGGAAGTAAATATAGCCCAGGTTTGAACAACTGATCACTATAATTGCATTTCAAATTGTTTTGGGGGAAGATACCTTTGTTTCCTCTTTTCTGCATCTCCTATCAATCCCTCTAGCCTATCCTCTAGCGCCTTTGTTTCTCGTTGAATCGTTTCACCAGTTTCTTCGGTCACAAGATCTCTCCTGTGAACTTCCCTGGCCACATCAACTGCTGCACTGACAGAATCCTCATGTGATGCTATCTTGTTTATGATGTTCTAGCAATGTCAGGGTAGAGTAGACTCAGAAAAGTGGATTTAGGTTGAAATCAAAATATGTTACTTTTGGAAAAATAATTGTGCATAAAACTATAAAATTTGAGGTGGTGGGAGAAAGACCTGCTAAAACGTATATCCAAATCAAATGAACAGATTACAGCGTAGAAGAACTGCATCCCCTCAAATCACAGCCATTGTTTTTTGAAGCTTCCCAAACGAAATGGTGCGAACCAACCAGAATTTTCGGATTTCCCATGTACACTAGAATGAAAAATATTGCTCGAATGAAGTAATCATGAGAGAAAGGATGAGTTACATGCAAAAAAAAAAAAAAGATTTAAGCCAAATGGAATCCCTTCGCCTTGAAATTGTTTTAGAATCACTCAGAACTCGAACTACAAGTCCTTTTTCTATGGGCCCCACTTATTCGCGTGATCCGTCCGTTGTCGTGGAGACACGAAGCAATTGGCCTTGTAACACAACATTGTTGGCAATACTAACTTTACTCATATGATCTTAACCGATCACATGAATTCGAATAGAAAATTCTAGACGGTTGACGCTTGCATAAAATCAGCTCCGCTGAGAAAATTCCGCTAACACTAATAAAAATCAACGGCTATTCCTACAAATCGATAGAATGAGACTTCGACTGATCATAGTGCTTTTGAAGAACACTCACCAGCTGTATATTTAGTTATATTTGATTTTAAAAAATCTGATTGATAGTCGTTATTTCGCTTAAGTTTTATCTAATGGTTTCTGTACACGCTGTAGTAATGAAGCATGTAATTAGCAATCTAGCTTAAGGAAGCCTATAAATATAAACACCCAGCCTCGTTAGGCTTCCTTCACCTTTATGTACAGTAATTGTAAACAAGGAAGCCTAACCATTAAGCCTAACCATTATTCAACTTTTGTTGCGTTTAATGTGTGAGTGACCAAAAAAACAATTAAATTTATAAATAAAATAAAACGAAATACGACGAACATCCCAAGTATCTTGATCTGCCCTCGTAAACAATCTAAACGACCCTGTCTACTTACTTGTGTCCTCGGCTTCCATGATGTATCACTGAATGTTGCGCCCCGCTTAAAAACTTTCAGCCCCAACATGAACCTTTTTTTACGTCCTTTTTACGTTCGATTTACAAAAGACGCCAGTGCGCCATATAACTTCTTCGGAGAATCCGTCCAAACAACTCAACAACGTCATAACTTTCTGAAGTTTAAGACTACGGGTCATAGAATTGCAATGTCGATTGAACACTTCGCGTGACATTGGTAAGACTGGCTAGAAAACACGGTGATGTCACTTTCCATTAATGGACTTTGGATTTGCTTGATGGACTAATATCCCATCAATTTCAACGGACAGAGATTGAATAAACGAGAGATGACATCGTTTTTTTTGTTTTTTTTTGTTAATCCTTTGAGCCCCAGTATCCATATACAAATTCTCAAGACTGATCTCCATACATTTCTATTAAGAATAGTTTAGAATTTGGTTTAAGATCAAGGCGTTCTTAAAATTCTCATAACCTTTACTCTTGATGATCTGCTGATGTTGTTTTTAGAAAATTGATGTTAGTTATCCGTCTTGGGACCTAAAGGGTGAAATCTTGCCGAGCTGCACAGGCTGCACAAAATGTTTTTCTTTAAAATCCTCTTATATTTATTACTGGTCCTTACAAAACCTAAAAACCTCAAAGAAAACTTGATCACGACACCGTGATTTCCGGACTACAGCTAACACAAGGAACATAGTGGGACCTTGCACAATACATTTTGGTTTTTGTTTGTTTGTTTGTTTTTTTGTCCGTTTTTTTGTCCGTTTTTTCTTTTTTTTTTTTGTCGTTTCAAATTAATTGCCTGTTTAACAAGGTTATTCATGAATAGACGCGTCTTNTAACCTTTACTCTTGATGATCTGCTGATGTTGTTTTTAGAAAATTGATGTTAGTTATCCGTCTTGGGACCTAAAGGGTGAAATCTTGCCGAGCTGCACAGGCTGCACAAAATGTTTTTCTTTAAAATCCTCTTATATTTATTACTGGTCCTTACAAAACCTAAAAACCTCAAAGAAAACTTGATCACGACACCGTGATTTCCGGACTACAGCTAACACAAGGAACATAGTGGGACCTTGCACAATACATTTTGGTTTTTGTTTGTTTGTTTTTTTTTTTGTCCGTTTTTTTGTCCGTTTTTTCTTTTTTTTTTTTGTCGTTTCAAATTAATTGCCTGTTTAACAAGGTTATTCATGAATAGACGCGTCTTATGGGACAAACGTCTGTTTTGTTTTTGTTTTTGTTTTTTGTTTTTTTATCTCTCTTTTTCCCTCTTGTCACAAGAGTTGCATTATTCATATTCTTTATATTATGGTCGTTGCGTTGTTTGTAGTTTGTTGATGCTTATTTTATGCATGTTCGTCCATATGCATGGCCGAAAGAGAGCTTTCAACTGAACTTTCAGTCAAGAGTGCCACAGACATGATTACAACACAATTCGAGTGAAACATTAAGGTAGCCGCTCAAAAAAAAGAGAGAATAAATGTCAGCAAATACAAAAGGAAGCACGCATGAATAAACCTGAAGAAGATTAAAATGTATAAAATGGATTGCAAGTATGGTTTGAAAACTTGTTAGCCTGACAGTTTTTCAAAGTTCATTTTTGTTATTTGTAACGATTTATATTGAGCTTGGAAGACATATTTTGTTTGCCAAAGCTCTCGGGTAAATTCTTAAGTGCGAACTGGCGATATAAAATGATCTAGACAGCCTTGACACGGGTCCGCCAATATGGTGAGTTATTTATCATGCGTTATCACGGTGAGTTAATTTTCTGTCAAGTTACCATATTTTGAAATCTCAATATTTGGCATGCAGAACATTAAAATTTCAAAATTTGACACGCAGAATCTTGAAATTTCAGGATTTGACATTCGATCGTCAAATATTGAAATTTCAAGATTTGGTAACTCAACTGTAAATAACTCATCTTGATAACTTACGCTACTTAACTCACGGCCTTATTAAACCCCCTTAACACAACCTCTTTAAATTCTATTTACCTTGTGCCTTTTTTCTTCTTCGCGTAGCGCGTTCAGGTCATCTTCTTTGATTTCAACCGCATTCATGCTCTCCTCCAGTTCATCAAGGCTGTTGCGGACCCGTCCCATCCACTCACCACCCATAATCAAAATCGCTTGCACCAAGCTTTGTGAAGGATTAAAAGAAACATTAGGTTTCTTAGAAACCGCCCAACCACTCCTCCCATGAGCAAACATTTTACCCTAACTGAGAAGTGATTGTTAATGTTGGCTAAGGGGAGGGGTAGGTAGGCAGTTCCCCAGAAACCTAAGTTGACTCCGCCTCCGCCTCAGGGTTAGTGCCGAAAGTCTTTGATTCTAAAAAGATTTTTTTAAGTCTTTTGAAAAAAAAGTAAAACTCAATTGTCAAATGAAGAGTGATCGTTGCAGTTGTGAACACAATTTATGCAATCCTGTAACTAACCCTAAAAAAAAATTCAGGACTTCAGCGGGATTTGAACCCTTGACCTTGCGATACCAACTAAGCCATGAAGCCACTGAAGTTGGGAGTTGGTTAATTATGTGTTCATATGTTTCCGTGAAAGAGATGAATCTGATAGATGTATATAAATCATATAAGAACTGCGAGGATCATTCTTCATTTGATTTCATTTCCGCAGTTCTTAAATGATTTATTTCATACAGTCTATACATCTATCACACACTTACTTTTGTTTTGCAAAATAAGACAAAAGAAAATTTGCCTAGAGGACTTCTCTTTGTATCTGTTATTAATAAATATTACTCAACGAAGGCGCAGTCAAAAAGGAAAAGGTTTAATTTTTGATTTTTGTGTTGGATTTATCCATAGAGTCTGTTGCTAGTTTCGCTTGAGGAACAAAATGCGGGCTCCGCGGACGGGAATATTTATAACAACTATAAGGGTGAAACCTACATTTAAGCCAACTGCATTCATTCGGTCCAAAGACAAACTGTCAGACTTAACAGATTTTCATGGCCCAAAGGTAGCCTTATTGACGAGGTCACACTGTGCTTTGTACCGCTTGTTACTAAGTGTAAATAGCTTTAAATACATTAAGAATGCAAAACCTACCGCTGCTTATTGACTTCATGGGAACGCCACATTTCTTGCCAACGATCATTTAAGTCATCGACCTTTCTACGCAGCCTTACACGACTTTCCACGGTCATCACATTCATACTTTCACTTTCTTCAAAGGTTTCCTTTACCAAGATAAAATTGTTGTTCTCCTGCTTCATGTTTTGCTCCAAAACCTGAAAAAAAAATTCCGTCAAGGGCAGTGGTGGATCGAGGTGAAAGAGACCCTAAAGAGACCCCCCATTGGATTCAAAAATAATTATTCATGAGTGAAAACCTCTCTCCCCCTTGGCTAAAGGTTTGAGTTCGCCGTTAACATATCTTAGGGCCTGTTCACAAGGAGGTGGGCAACCCCATGTAGCGGAGGTAACCCGCTTAGGTGGAGTAACCTGCCTGTCCATATAATCTCTCATTTTAATTTGATCACGTTTAAATGATGGCTGGGGTGACCCGCCACATGTTATCTCACCTATATGCGGTCCCCTACCTCCACGTACATGTGGCGGGGTGAAAAAAGCCGGTCGAAAGGTACAGCTGTAGGGAGATGTAAAAAAGAATAAGTTTTTCAATTTTGCTCTCTGCTTTGCTTGGAAGGTGAGTGATATCATGTTCATTTTAATTATCACTTTCCGAGTATTAGCACAAATCCCACACATTTACCATAAGACTGCCGTCAGGTGATAGTTTACCCAAACAGAAAAGTGTGGGCATACGTTCTGTTAGGTGAACAGATATCACCGTTCATTCAATCGAATTCAATGTTTCAAATAAACAAAGAAGGACAAAAACGCAGAAGCAATGGATCGTGTTTAAAAACAAAAAGATTTCACGTTGTAATCTTCCGCTT